TTGTAATCTAGAATATCAAACAAGTAAACCCATGTTTTTAATATATTATTTCAATGTTTTTGGTACGAATTTCAAGTGATAAACCCAGGACTCTGGATTTTTATGGATTTTTCTAGGCAGCCAGACAAGGGACTTGGTAATTAATTAACATAATGAAAATAAGAAAAATTACTGTGAAAAAAGAAGAAGATAATTTTCTTCAATTTTAAAAATGAAATAAAAATGCGTTTTCTTCAATTTTAATAATGAAATAAAAATGTGTTATTTTCTTTATATTTTATTTAATAAAAAAAACAGTATTTGTTTTTACAAGATTAGTAATTTCTACCAAAAATATTCTTATTCAGTAAGTTTTTATTTTTATTACTTTTTTTTTTCAAAAATATTAATAATGAAAATAAGAAAAATTACTGTGAAAAAAGAAGAACATAATTTTCTTCAATTTTAAAAATGAAATAAAAATGGGTTATTTTCTTTACATTTTATTTAATAAAAAAAAGTATTTGTTTTTACAAGATTAGTAATTTCTACCAAAAATATTCTTATTCAGTAAGTTTTTATTTTTATTACTTTTTTTTTTTCAAAAAATATTATATTAAATATGTTGAGAATAATACAGTTTATATTCTCTTTTATGGCTTTTCATGGGGCCAACTTATAAATAATTGACAAAAAATTAAGATGAGATATAACATCAAGGGTCAGTAGAATTGACTCATCATTAATTTATTAAATATTTTATTTTTCTAGTTATTTTTTATTTATGCATGCAGCACCCTTAAAATAAAATTAAAAACCAAAATCGTGAGCCAGTTACTTTCAATTTGAAAATATGCTGCCTCTAGTTAAAACTTGATAATCCAATTAAAGAACTTTAATTTTCAAAATTATCTATTTTAATGCATGCTCGAAAAAAAATTAGTATGTCCAATTCTAGAGATTGATTATATTCTTTTAGATGCTTATTATATTATTTCAAAATTATTCTTTTAGATGCAAAATTTCAAATATAGGGGGTTAAAAGAAATAATTTAAAAAAATATTAAAATAAAAAAGTATTATATTATTATTTAAAAATAAGGATAATTTGATAATCTACATAACATACCCACTCATTTATCCTCTCAACTAAACATATTATCATAATCTATCTTTCCAGTAATACAATATTTCCTAAACCAAAAGCACTCTAAGTGTTATGATATGATGCTTGCTCAAAGTGTTTAATAAGTTGAAGACAATATTCTTTGTGAAGGAGAATCTAATCTAAAAACAATCAATTAAATCAACAATTTGTTTGCTATTTCAAATTAAGAAGTAATTAAGTGGTGGCTCCCAACAAGCAAGAAAAGTAAAATGCAATACACTTTATATATGTTTAATTAAAATTAATGTAAGATGATGGACCACCATAGAAGATGTGCTAATTATGTCTCATATTTGTTGGAATCTAGCGGCACAAAGATACTTGTTCCGTGAGTGGCGCTGGTGCATCAAAGCTTACAAAAAAATGCTTTGTCAATTCTGATGGGCACTACTTAAATCATTAATTTTATACATGGTTTCTGACTTTTTGTTGCAGGAATCAAGAGTTAATTCTATCACTATGTCGGAAGTAAACCTGGTAAAATTGCACACGACCCGGATAAATCTGTAATTGTTCGGACGTATCGACAATACTTATCAAGTAGATTTGGTAAAATCATGCACAACTGGTTAATATTGTAAAATTAAGCCCATTGAATAAGCTCACCAAGTGAATTGGGTAAACTTGTGCACGACACGAAAAACATTATAATAGTAACGGTAATGTTAGGTCTACAATTTAATTTCATAATTTTCAACGTGATATAGTTTGTAATTGATCAGCTCGTAAATGGGCAGACATGATCCATAGCAAGCAGGTGTGACTCATTTGTGAGTTGACCAATTATGAACTGTTACATCAGCGGTTGTGATATAGGATTGTGGACCTTGTATTACTTCACTAAATAGACGTGGTAAAATTATGCACAAACTGTTAACAGTCTAATAACTCGGGTTCACCAAGTTAATACTGTAAAAACTTGATCACAACAAATACATATGGATATTGTTATAGGTCTATCAAGTAGATATAGAAATTGTTCCCACCATCTAAAATAGCTTGGGCTCCCTGAGTAGGTATTGTGCACTAGCCTAGGCTAGTTTCTTTTGAGTAATATTGCATGTATAAAGAAATCTTACCAAAATTTATGTAAAAAGTGATGTGACAAGAAATGAACGGAAAAGTGAACACAAAAAGTCAAACTCATCATATTTACTCTTTTATTTATTTTTTGCCACATCACTTTGTACATAAATCTTTGTAAGATTTCTTTGTACATCTAGTATTATTATTATTATTATTATTTTTTTTTTTTTTGTGATGACTAAAATGTTCAAGTCAACTTAGACGCATCTCGATTGATCTTCGAGACTCATTAAATACCTTACAAATATAATGTTCTAAGGTTAGTTATAAATGTGATAAATGGCTCTAAGGTTCGAGCTTAAGAAGTGGATAAAAGAAGTAAACCATCTTGAATACTAGACCAAACTTTTGGAGTTATATTTTATTTGCCGGTGATGGAAGATGTGACAAACATTCCTACGCCCGTTTAATTAATTAATTAAAAACCGTTTGACATGTCTAGCCAATTAATTAAACGCATTTAAATAATTAATATGAAAATATTTTTGATTATTTATTTCCCTTTTTGAACCTTTAAAATCTAATGGTTCCAATGTTTTTTCTAGTTAGACCATTAAAATAGTCTAGTTGGAAGTAATTTTATCCGACAAGATAATAATTTCACGAAACAAAAGATTAGACAATTAATCAAAATGCAAAATAGAGAATCAATTTGTTTTATTTTTATTATTTTTTTCAGAGTCCAAATTGGGCTTGGAGGTCCAGCCCAGCCCGACTAGCTTGGGCCAATGTATTTTATCTTGATGGGTCAAAAGAGAAATATTATGACTCAAAAAAGAAAAATAAATAGGGTTGAGCTTGATGATAACAAAATTATCACTTGGTTTCAGGAGCATGTTAATTAGGAAAAATAAAAGGATATTCATTCTTTAAAATAGAAAAATAACAACAACAACAACAACAATAATAATAAATGTACAAAATTTATAATATTATTTATAAAATGTATGGTATACAGTGAAATATATAATTTATACTGGTTAGAATGTTGGATTGATTGTAGTTTCATAGGCTATATTTCGTTTTGTTGGCAAAATAAGGAAGAATAGCGACCAAAGTTGAGCAATTTATTTAGTAAATTTTATTTAAGTGGTCAAAGTGTAACGATCCACAAATAAGGAGGTTAAAATATATACATATATACTAAAATTTTCATATATTTACAATTTTAAAATATAGACAACCATTGATAGGAAGTAATAAATATCAAAATACAGAAACCACATGGTAGGACGAGCACTGTGATGTGTGGTTAAGGTATACAATCTCAGATTTGAATCCTCATGACTCTCAAGATTTAAGCGGATGATCATGACAGTGAAATGTTATACTAGTCAAGATTAGTTGAATTGACTCAGACATCTTGTTTAAGAAAAAAAAAAAAAATATTTGAACCACTATTTTCACTGCATTTTTTTTAAGTGTTAATTCACAATAACTAATTATATATAATAAAAATAGAAAAATAGATATAATTTAATCTTAGGTCTCACTCCACATGCTTATGATAATGAACAATCATTTATCGCATTAAATGTTAAGCTTACAATACTCATGGTCAACATTAATGAATCACAATTATTAATCCATTAACCATATTTTTCTTCCCCTCTATTCTTTTCTCTTCGTTACAAGCAATATTAACCATAATTGTTCTTCAAATAAATGTGTTGCAAACACTTACTTTTGCATTTATCTTGTTTCTTTTTATGCCTTTGACTTCTATTTTTTCTTCTTATATAATCAAAAGCCACCATAGAATAATACAGAAGAAGAGGGAAGAATTTTCAACCCTCTCTCTCTCTCTCTCTCTCTCTATCTCTATAGAAACTTCGTATCGTTAATCCATGTAAGATATTTATTGGTTATATTTCGATAAAAAAATAATTCTCGAAAAAAATCCAGTATTATTACATGAGATTATCAAATGATACTTACGAACAATCAATAAAGTAAGATGGTTTGACTTTCAAATCTTTATTGAATGATCTTATCATATCAACAGAATGAAATGGTGAGATTGTCTTGTATTGAAGTTTAAATTAACGACTGTAGTAGTGAAGTACAAAGATGATATTGTTACTAAAACTCTTACATATTGAGATTATATGCCAATTAATATTGCTAATAAAGCATAAAATCATCCATTAAAATATTATATCTTTCTTTGAAAATCTTTTGTGAAATGTCATATCGAAGTTGTAAGAAAAAGTTTATAAGATTAAGTTGTAAGTGTAATATTGCTCATCTATAAATATAAATAAATGAAATGTTTACAAGCAAATTTTCCCGAGAAAATCTTTTCGTTACAGAGACTTTTTCACCAACTTAGTTTTATTTTCCTTTGGTGCAAATTTATTCTTCCGCAGTGAATAAAATCAATCAGCCATGCACCAATTTATATATATATATAAAATTTTGTAGTGAAAAAAAGTAGTACGATTCATAGTTTTATTTAATGGCTTCTTTATCATCCCTAATATATAAATATATATTAATCTAATAAATAATAAATTATATTATACATTTACATAACATGAGGAATTTATTATATGTGAAGATGCATATCCATGTTCTTGCAGAAAAATAATAGACATAATTTTCTGATGCATCAATAATTTATTATCAATATTTTCTTCAAGGATTTCCATAGAATATTGCAATTTAATTTCTTGGTCAAAAGACACAGTGACCATCTAAACTATGGCCTTCTGGATCAGTTGTTAACCCACATAATATTTTATTTAATTGTTAAAGACTTAAAAGTATATTTCTGGCCAGATAATCACCCATCAAAAACGAAAACGAAAAAACATTTTTCTGCTTTAATATCAAATACTCACTCATAAGACAAAAACAAAAACAAAACAAAACCAAAATACTTTCTCAAAGCAATTAGATTTGTTTTTTGAAAACAGTTGCAGCATGGAATAATAATCCTGATGATTCATTAATTTCCCTTCACATGCACTTTGCCCTACCTGTTATTATCACCAACTGTGAGTTGATCATTATTCGTTTGGCCCAACAAGCTGCTGATTGATCGAGCTTTCACTGTTCCAAGCTTCATTCTCTTCTTTGTCGTCGTCATCATCAATGGGCGCTTCTCCTCATCTTTCTCTTCTTCAACAACTTCAGTAGCTGCATTTGGTTTTTTAGGTTCTTCCGTCAATGAAGATGAAGTTGAAGTTACAGCAGCGGTAGAATTAGAAGAAGAAGCATTTGATGAAGATGATAATAATAATGTGCTTTCATTGTTTCCTGTGTTGCCAAGTGATCTACTACGAACACTCGTCATGCTCCTCAGCCTTCCTTTCCCCAAATGATGCTCACAAAGAGAGTAACCCACAAGGGTTTGTTGGCAACATCTCCATCCTCGCCCGTTAACTCGACTGCACCTCGAGCCCTCCATTAATGCACCACCTCGAGCTCTCTTCTTATTTGCGCTTGTTGTGGTAGAAGAAGAAATGTTATTATTAGTATCATCATCGACAACAGCATTTGAGCTCTCTTTTGTTGCTGTTGTTTCCTTATTATCTTCTTGTTCATTAAGATGAGAATCGAGACCAAATTTCTTGTTCATCTTTGTCTTCATAACTTTGGTCTTCATCTTCATCTTCTTATGAATATTATCTTTCTCATCATCCAATATCAATGCATTCGTTTCCTCGTTGCCTCTTCTCTCAAAGCTCCCTCTTCTCTTCTTCAATGGGAATGCTTTCTCTCCCTCACACCATCTCCCAACAACTATAAGATACAAAGTGCAACATCAAACGATAATTCAAATTCATGTTAAAATGACTCATTTGACATGTTTACCTTGATGTGAAGAACTCAAGTGAGAAGAAGAAACAGCAATTCCATTAAGTACTATTTCTGCATCCAAGATGCTTTTGCTCCTAAAAACACAAACCCAGAAAAGATCCTCAACCACATAGATGAAATTTTCAACCCAAATGAAACTAAACCAAAGAAAAAAAGAGTGCAAAATGGAGTAAGAGCCAAGATTTATGTTGTAGATGGGGACCATCATCACATGCTAACGTGCACAGCATGAGCATATAATTAGTTAGCCAATATAGAGAAAATAAGAAAAATAAAAGACTACTAGATTAGATTAGATGGGAAGGTATGGTGGCTAGCCAAAGCTGAATTTTTTCTTTCTTTTTTTTTTTTTAAAGGAAAAAAAAAAAAAAAAAAAAAAAACAACCAAAACAGGATTTCCACTTGCAGTATTTTTTTTCTTTTCTTTGTTGGGTAAAATCAATTTATGGGTCTCTTTCTTTTCACCTTTTTACTACAAGATTTCATGAGAGAAGATAGAAGAACGAGAGACTTTTTCTCATATCTTTCTTACCTGGAATCATTACAACTCTTCTCTTCGTCTTCTTCTTCTTCATCTCCATCTCCATCTCCATCTCCATCTTGTTCTTTGCCTCTCTCATAATCTTTACCTTGCAACAAAACCTGCCATGGAATCAAAACAAGAAAACTTAGGATCCATTTAGAACAAGAAGAAGAAGAAGAAGCAGCTTTCGATAGTATTGTTAATGTTGTAATAATAAAAATATACGCTTGCGGATGGTGCAAATTAATCCTCAAGTAAAATCAACAAAAATGTTATCTTTACACTACATGAAACACTAGTGCACTGTTATTCATAAATAAATACACGAACCAAACTATCTATCTTCTCGTGGGTTTGAGCTACTGATCCATCACCATCATCCAAGCCGTTGTTGTTGTGGCCGATGGTTCCGATCGGTTGATTGGGATGATCAGACCGTTGAGAATAGCCATATGATTTCCTAGCATGTGGTTGTGCAAGACTGTGATGTGGGTGGAGTTGCACCACCGGAGGAGGCCGGTTGAAGTGGGGATCTGAAACTACTGGTACAGGTGAGAGAGATGAAAGAGGAGAGGGTACCTGCCTTTTCCTGATCCTCATCAGTAAACTATATCAAGCAAAAAGATTTGATTACAACAAGAAGGACCAAAATCAATACCCAAATGAATGATCTTTCAAGGTCTGATTTTTGCAGAGAGACAAAGAAGAAAAAAAAAAAATACGAAAGAAAGAAGGAAAGAAAGAGAGAGTGCAGAACCCAAAAACTCACTACGACAACACAACAATACAACAATAAATTGTTTTTTTTTTTTTTTTTTCTTTGCTTTAATAACTCCCCATCAACATTCTCTCTCTAACTTTTATTTGTTGCACCACAAGAAAGGAAGGAAAGAAGAGAATAGTTAAGGCAGGAACACACGTGTGGGGAGAGAGGGAAGCACGTGTAGGTGACCGGAAGAGGAGGTAGCCAGTGGAAGGAGGAGGGTAAAGGGGAATCAGAAGAAGAAGTAGACAGGGTACGGACGAGTAGTGCCAGGGTGGAATTGGGATGAGAGAGAGAGAGAGAGAGAAATACAAAATGATGGGAGTGGGTAGTTTTATCGTTTATACTTTTTAGAAGGAGATAATGGGACCTACAATCCACCCCACACTTAACAACGACCGAGATGCTTTTTATTTATTTATTCATTTCATTAATCTCTTCTACTCGGAGATTATATACTATTTACACCATTTTGACTGTACTTTTCTTTTTGGTTTTTATTATCAAGGTATTCCGATCAGTTTATATGTAACTTTATTAATTATTTAAGATCCTAAAATTAATAATTAGATAAATTTTTAATAATTATCTCTTATTAGTAGTCGTGAGAATTCAAATTTATGAACTCTTGAGTAATTAAAAAAAAATTGAAAATATAGTGCAAAAATATAATGAAATTTCTTATAAAAATCGTGGATTAAATCTCGTGAGAATTCATACTCAGGACCTCTTAATTGTTTATTTGTTATGTTAAATGGACTGAACTGGTTAGAATATGCCAGATTATCAAGTTTAGTACCATTTAACATGATTTAACATACTTTAATTAGACTGTTAAATTATATAATTAAATGCTACATTGATCTAAATTGTCGAGTTTAGTATAATCTAATATTATATATTAAATAACATATTATTTGTTGTTTTAATAAGAGTATAATTGATAGATCACTGAATTTTATGGTTGAGATTTGTGTTTAAAATAAATCCTATATATTTTGAAAAAAATGACACGCTTTTAAATTATTTTGGTTTAGAGTAGGGTTATAGGATTATGTCTATTAGTTAAAAAGTTTTGACTTTTTACTATGTTCTATGCCCATGATACCATAATTGGACTATTTGACCGCTTGTTTGCTAGTGTAGAAAATTGTGTTAAATGGGTCGGGTTGGTTCATTATGGGTCAAATGAATTGGGTCAATGACCCAATTTGTTGGGTAAAGTCATTTTGGTTTTATGTCCATTAGTTAAATAGTTTTTAAATGGATTGAGTTGGTTAATTAGATATCAAATGAATGCGTTTAGTTACTGGCGTAAGTCTTTTTAACTAAGTATTGTTAATGTAACTAAAGATATTAAATGGGTCGAATTGGTGTATAATGTATCGAATGAATCGGGTCAATTTTGTTGGATAAATCATTTCAACTTAGAATAACGCTTATTTGAATATGTCTATTTGCCAAAGAGTTACCATTTTTTTTTTTTTTTTTTTGTGTCGGATAAGTCCATTAAATGAAGTAATTGAATCGGGTCAATTTTGTTGGATATGTTTAGTTTGTCGAATATATTTTAGGATCAAAGATGGTAACCTAATATTTATCTTGGTGTTTATGGTATTTTTTTTTTTTTTTAAGGGATGAGTATGAGCATGATTACTGTATTAATGGGTTTGAAATGGATATGAAGTAATTGATTTAAATGGAACCTATTTTGGTCCAATATGACAACCTCCTTTTGATAGTCTTTGTATTCATTCATTACTTATAATTTGGATGAATGTATTAAATGGATTGAAACGATTTAATAGGTGTCAAATGAATTAAATAGCACGTTTGATCAGTGCATTTGACTTATTGGGTAAGTCTATTTTCATAAAATAACTAAGGTATCAGTGCACAATTACTAGTCACCCAATCCTTAAGATCACATAACACTTTATAAGTTCAATGAATTAAGATAATTATATAAATATGGTAAGTTTCTCTTTGATGAGTTGAACATGAAAACCCTGGGTATAACTAATCCCGGTCGCTACAGGGCTTACCATTAGTAGTTATTATTTGCCCATGAATATAAATTATTTACAATTTGGAGTACGGGATGACAACGATCGCATTGCATGAGAGAGGGCATCGTAAGTAGCATGCGGAGGAGCTAAGATACGCCCCATTTTACTAATAATAATGAAGGGCTGAAGAAAGACACTCTTTTTTGGGTAAACCCTTCCCAAGCGGAACCAATCTCTTAGTGGCCCACTAGCCGGCCATGGCTATCCTTAGAGGGAGAGATCATAGTTCCGAATGGCCCTTAAGACCCTTCGATTACCTTCTTTTTGGTAGGTAATCTTTAATGAGCAGCTTAAGGATATTTTGGTAATCCTTTATTTTCTCCCTCCATTCCCGGAGGCTTTCCGCATCTGTCTCCGCAGAAATTTCCAGATTGTAAGACAAAATGTTATCCGCGGCACTGGAGTGTACTCCCCTCATTTCCTGAATGTGAACGGACAGTCGCACGCACTGCGCCTTTTTAAACTCCTCTTGAAGCTGTTGGACAATTAAAGTCTTAACTTCTTTTAGAAGTGCCACACAGTCTTCTTGATCGGGAGCGAGGTGGGCAACTTCTGCCGGTGCTGGCACCTGTAGCAGAGCCTCTTGAGCCGCCCCCGGGGAAGCAACTTGATTAGCGGGAAGCACAGGCCTTGCTTCCGGTTGATTCAAGGAACCGCTATCCGTGTCGGTTTCGGGAAAAGGCTCGATTAGCACCTGCTCCTCGAAGGAAGCCTTCCCCATCCACGAGGTCGAGTTTAGTATTTAGCTGTCTATGGCCACCTAGTCCCAAAAGAAATATTAAGATTTATATCTAGGTATATAATTATTCACCTCTTAAAACTCAATTTATTTTTGACCCTATATTTATTAAAATGTAACTTTGACCCCAAAGCATTTTTTTTGTCTCCCCATACGTTTATTGAAGGGATACTATTGGTTAGGATACAAAGTCTTCAGACTTTTGAAATGTACGAACAAAAATTACAAATTCTAAAATTAAGAGACAATAAACTATTATTTAGGGGTTATATTAACTTTATACAAGGGCCAGGTCGTATTTGAATATATTTAAATTATTCTTTTTACAAAACAAATAATAAAAATAGAAAATTATCAAAAGTAAAAATAAAAAACGGAAAAATTTTAAAAACCTAAAAAAAAATCTAAGTTATTCTTTTTTTAGATAATAAATAATAAAATAAAAAATTATTAAATTTAAGAATACAAAAAAAGGTAAAAAAAAAAAAAAAAATTGAAAAAAGCTATTATTCTTTTCCTGTATTTTTTTGTTTTAAATTTTTGTCTTATTTTTTAATTTGTTGATTTTTTTAGTTTTTTCGATTTCCTTAAAAAAAAAAAAAAAATTGGTTTTGGTCTTTTTTGAGTTTTTAAAAATTATTAAAATTTAGATTTTAAGAACTAAATTCACTTTGAAAAAGATTAAAAAAATTAATGGTATCTAAGTTATTTTGTCATTTTCTCTTAAGGTTAAGGGCAAATAACTGTTAAATGTCCCTTAATTGAACAATTTGTAACTTTTGGTCTCTTAATTGATAATATCCCTTTATAGAATTTGTAACTTGGGTTCAAAGTAATTGATTTAAATGTGACATAAATTTTATATTAATAATGTTATAGTATTTAGAATCAGATTTGGATATGCTTCAAAACAAATCAAAACTACATTGTTTTACTATGTATTAATAAAAAAAACATTTTGAGACAAAGCTAAGCAGTATCGATTAGCTGGGATTTTGGTTTAGGGAAGTGAAGCATAAAATGTTTTGAAATTATAAAAAAGATAATACATTAATATTTAAAATTAAACAGAAATAATACATCCACTCTTTAAAATATATAATTATTAAACTTTCCCCCTATAGTTACAATTGCAACAATTATCAAATAAAACCCCTGAAATCACTTAACAAGGCATGGGGTGTTTATAAATTATAAAAGAATGGAGATAAAGCATATTATAATTAAAAAATTTCAAGCAATTAACATTCAAAATTATTATTATTCTTCTCTTGTAACAAATCAATACATGGACACATAAAAAATCATTCAATCTTTGATACATGTTTAAGTTTGTTATGCCTAAAAAGTCAGGGCTGACGCGAGCTTATGTCAGCCAACGCCAATCAGAGTTCAGGAAGACTTTGTGACATCTAGGAGATGACACATCGTCAAAAGACAGAAATAGTATAGTTGTCATCAACTTGGTAGACTCAGACTTTGTCTACGAATGGATGAGAGTTGCCCACCTGTCCAAGCCATGCGTGATTTAAGGATATCTGTCTTATAATCAACCAATGGGAAGTGCGGTAGGAATTATACTACACCTGCTCACGTGCAGACTTGTAATCATTACCCTGAAACATTCTACTATAAATAGAGGGCTCCCTCTCTCATTTTCGAGATTCTGATAAGAAACCCACATTTTGATTGTAACCTTTTACTCTCAAAACACAGATAACCTACGAAAATGAGATTAACTTGATATTCTCTCTGAATAATCAGTCACTTGTACCTCTGCTCGCTAGTCGCTATACACGACCTTCTGTAACCTCATAAATATATAAAAGAACAGTGGACATAGGATTCGCTTCAAGCATCTGAACCACTTTAAGTATCATCTGCCATTTACTTCATTGCATTTTCCATTCATCTGTCATTTGTAAGCCAACTTAGCACTTTGCATGAGCGAATCGTTGGTGTTAAAATCAAGCATCAACAGTTTGACATTAGAAGGAGGGCGTGATTTAGTATCCGCTCTTCATCAAGAATCTTTGATCAATCAGCTTTGCTTGTTGACAAATGGCTCGTGGTTTCAAAATCGAGCGAACTAGCCCTAACCTCGAGAGGATCCCCGAGTACAAGACAATACTACTTCCAAAGTACCTCCTATTCCGCAGAATACCACGGCGGATTTTCCCTCGAGCTCACAGCTCGATCTAGTTGTGAGGAGTTACCTAGAGAGGTTTAACAATACTCTTGAAACGGTTAGCCGAAGGCTAGACCGTTTGGATCAGGTTGTGTCGC